GAGCTCATCGTAAAGTTCGAATGCAGAAGCCCGTTCGACTCGGGCCCGGGCCATGCCTTGAACTTGAAATCCTTTTTTCTCGCCTGTGGTGCCCACCGTCCGACAGCGCACTTCTGTGATTCTCGACGTGGTTTTTATGTCCAACCCCGCTCTCATCTCATATTGGAGTTGATTTTCATCTGTACGTCTTTGATATTTACATCTGCTGCACTCCATCTCGGAGCGTTACGCACGACGTGTCGGCCAAGAATCTTTTCACATCGGTCAGATACTGTAGCAGGGAACAAGCTACTCACCGCCCACGTAGCGAAATATTGCATCGTAGTCGCCTCCATCGATCCAACACCACGTTGCCCTCCGGGAGGGGTGGGGAATGAAAGAAACTGTTGAAAGGTGGTTTTGCTGAACCCTTCTTCTTTATATTTTTCAGCCCTCACGTTCATGAATCAAGCTACTTTATCTAATTCTTCTGCCCAGCAGGTCCTTTTCTTCGTAGTACAAGAACTTGCACACTGCATCACATCCGATCACATTCAAGCCCGTTCGACTCGGGCCTGAACCGTTCGAGCTTCCTCCAAAATTGTTTCTTTTTTCGTCTGATTTTCGGGGCGAGGTTCCAGTCCAGCATCGAATTTCAGTCTGTGCCGCTGTACCTTATTCGCTGCAACCCGATATCAATGGAATGTCCCGGACAAACTGAAAAGCTCAATCGACGGTACGGCGGGTCGGATCCACTGCATAGCGACTCGCAATTCCGTTGTACTTCCCGCAGACGCGGGCCCTGGCCATCTTTTACTCGTTTTCCTCCACTTTGCGAAACTCTTTTCTTTTGTCCACCCGAAATTTGGAATCACACTCGTCTGAACAAATCCCGAGTGACTTGGCGAGGCACAGATTCGACTCACCTTGAATGACAGGACGATCGAATCCATCCAAACGCTAGATAAGGCCACTGAGCCGGTCCAAGTCGGGCCCGGGCCATTATGATCGAGTATCATCTCTTTTTGTATTTGGTTGGCCCCAGGTACACGATCATGACTGTGCAATTGTCCCCTTACGATATACGTTATCGATTTTTCACAAACGTGGGCTAATTACCCAATGCTCCGCCAAATTACCAGTGCGGTCATTGAAATTCGGGCGAAGTGAGTAAGAGAGGTGAATATTTTCAACCACTCCGGGCCTCGGCGATGCTACAACTCTGCAAGTTGATCTCTATCCGCATCATAGTCGAACCACGAGTGTGATAAATGAACTGACTACGTATGTGATCGACCGTGCGGTCCATTTTACTGTCCTTCCTGCTTTGAACGGTCTGCTCGCAGCTCAAGTGTACCGCGAATTTATCGTTGTAAAAGGTGTTTTACATTCACCTACAAACACATTTGACGCTCGGACCAGCCTGAGTGATTAGCGCAGACAAGGCCCGACGGTGGACGCTCCCCGCTTGCGCATCATTCGGTGGTAGATGCACTGAGAGTAGAGGTGGCCCGTTCGACTCGGGTACAAGCAATTTCAGATCGTTCAGAGTTTTTTTCGGTATTCGCCACATATCTTTCAGCCTTCCACGATTAGTGGGACAATCAGCTCAAGCCCGGGACTTCTGTGTGTAAATATTCTTTGATTTGCGGTGTTGTGCATGCGATGGCACGATGTGTATTAATTAATGACAGGGATGAACTGAGGTACTAAACAAGTTGCACAGCGACTCCGTGGTGGATGGTCACACTCCCGCACACAATAAGGCGAGTTTAAAGTCAATTTGCGGGATAAGTACGTTCGACTCGGGCCCGAGCCTTTTGCGAAGTCAATTGCAAGTCCTTTTTCTTACCAGTCTCAGAATACCAATAAAATTGACCGATTGTGGGGCAAAGTCCCCCGGTTCTTTAGCATTCTATAGTACACTCCAAGAACTTTGAACTCGTCAACAAAATACAACAATGAGTGAACTTGGTGTGATCATGGTTCATATTGCGGACCGTCCGAAAAAGTATTGTGTTGCATTTGCAGATGGTAAGTATGTGAGTGCTTCCCTATGATTGCAGCTATGTAGATGTCGAAGGTTGAATATAGAGAACAAACGGAGGCGAGTCGGATCAACGATGTAAGGCTCCGACGGGACGCTGCACAACAAAGACAAATCAACCGCTCCGTGCTCTTTTCCATCAACTCGTCGACGAGTCGACGACGCGCAGCTCACCATCCTCTGTCCCGCTCGCTCATCCGACTCGCTGCGGTGAACACCACGCATCGGCCCTCTACGCTGCCTGACTTGGTGATTCAAGCTGGGTCTCCCATTGCTGCTTGACTGCGAGTCTGCGACCCACATGCCCTCGACTGCATCTGGTGTCGTTCATCGTCTACGTCGCCCACGGCGCTTGTTACCGCACCCAAGAGCTCATGATCATTCACCTCGGATGAACCGCATTTGCATCGCGACGCATCCCGTAGGACGCATCGCCAGCGCCGACAATCCACAGGCCTGGTTCGACTCTTTCAAGTGTACCACGCTCTCGACGGCAACTGAATTTGCCTGATCCATGACTGGGCCCACCGAGATGGGATTGGTAACAGCGCGGGGCCGCTCCATCGATGCTACAAGTGGTACGTCGTTTCTTTCTTTCGTTTTATTTCTCATCGAACCTCCTGCATCGCAATCACTGGCCTTTTGCGGCGCTGTACCCCAGTACACACTTGCCCTGCCTCACCCTTCCCTTCTAGACTCCCCCTTTCGCTCCCCGTCCGCGTCCCATCCTGTCTACTGCAAATGCTTCATCGCTACCCTCTTTTCCTACCCTTTGGCTTATGCGCGCGCCTCTGAATCTTGGTTGCATCCCATCGTCTCTCGACGTCCAGTTCCCCAACCCATTCCGTCTCTGGCGCCATTCTCATTCCCATCCGCCCCTACGCAGTCGTTTCGATTCCACCCGGGGAACGGCTGTCGTGCGCCTTTGATGAGCCGCTCCCCCGCTCTCTCACTACTCAGCTGTCTGAGATTCGACCCTCCGGCACCTTCCTTAATCCCCTCTGCTGCACTCGCCCACGCTCTGCAGTATGGACAGCGTCGGCCGTTTCCGATTGGACAAGACGTCCACAAGTCTCGCACTATCCCAGGATTCCAATCCCACTCTCAACTCGCGGCTCTCAGAGTCTCAGAGGCGCTGAGCCTCTAGATGTTGGACGCCGTTGACCCACTCGCACACTCCTCCGCCGCTGCTCATCATATTCCCTGGTGGACGACCGCGACGCATCGCTCCGCCATCCGCTCCTCCCTTGAGCTCTGGTACTACGCCATCCGCGTCTGCATCCCCATGATTCGCGCCGAGATGCCCTCTCCCTTCCCCGCCGTCCCATCGTGTTCGCCACATTAGAACAGCAGAGTTTGGAGCCTCCGATTCCCGAGATGGGATTGGATTGGGACCTGCATTGGGCCACTGATTTAGTGCTCCTACAGCTCATGCGTCGGTTCCCTCTTCCCATGCCCTTCCTGTAGGCGCTTTGTCCGGTCATCCTTCCCTTTCATGCACTTCTTCTCAACCTCCTCGCCTTCTCCCACAAATCTTACCTCGGCTCCGTTCGGGTCTCAGCGTTCCACGCTCAGTCGCCATGCCAGTCCTTAGTCCATCCTGCTGCAGTGTATGCGCCGCCCTCCTCCATACGCCCGTGTCGCGCTCATCTGTGCCAAGTTTCCCCCACCTCACCTGCATCTGCCCGTGTACACAGCTCGTTCCCGCCTTCCCCACTCCCGCCCGCGTTCGCATTCCAACTTCCACGACAGTCTCCGTCTTTGGCTGTCCGCTCATTCCGTGGCATCCGTGCGCTCTCTTCGCCCTCCTCCGCCGCTCACACACTCACGCCTTCTCCCACGAATCCCATCCCATCTCCTTACCAGTTCCTGCAGCTATTTGGGTCCCATCCAATCTTGCTGTATTTGCTGCCCGTCATCCACCGCCTTCCATCCTCAAGTCTTGTGCCGTGCACCAAGTTCCCTCCAGCTCACACGTGTCCTCGCCCTACCCATTCACTATGCGTACATAGTACGGCAAGTACCCACCATACCGTGCAATACCTTTCCAGTCCCTCCCTTATTTACGCGTCGCAAACGCATCGCATTTCTTTTTCTCATTCACCGATACTAACGTCTTCCGTTCTCCGTCCCAGATTATTGCCTTCTTTTCCTGTTCCGCAACACTGCAACGGCACGCCTCCAATGTTCCGTACGTCCAGAACCTTCCTGCTGTGTGAAGGCTCCGCTGCCTGCCGCCGCAAGCAGTTCCACACCGGATACTCGAAGTCAACTGCCTTGACCTATCCCGCATTCCTCCACTATTCCTCTCTCCTGCTTTTCCACTCGACGCTGTTTGCATTCAAAGCTCCTATCTGTATTATACTTCGACACCGGCTGCCACGGCTTTCGCCTCTCCTTACTTATGCCGATAATACTCACGCTTTGCATTCCCCAGCGTCTAGTTGAGCATCGTGCATCGTACAACTCACGGGCCTTCCGAACTTTCCTCTTCGTTTGTTTCAGGCTGACTGGCTTCGGGGCATTTCTTTTCTGGTTCGTGCGATTCGACGGCCAAGTCATTCGGGTGGGTGGCGATTTATCTTGGAAGTTGTTCTTCATAGTCTTTATTTTTAATTCTTGATTCTCTCCATTTAGCGTCGTTTGGTCCTCTTTGAGCTAATCTGCAGCATTCCCCTCTCACCGTTGCAACCGGTTGTGCCTGTTCGTTCAAGGCGGCCATGCCATTCGCTTACATGCTGCTCTGTCAACCGTGCGTCTGTTCTTTCGATGGCTTCTCAGAAATGCTCTCTGCTCGGCGCTCGCAGATTCTTGCTTAGGAGACGGTTCTCGTACATTGGTTTCTCCAAATCTTGCTTTGATTCTAGTTCGGTGTTAGTGTCACCATGATGTTTCGTACAGAATTAAACTGAGAATCCTTCTGCATTCCCACTTCAGACGCTCTCCTTGCCAGAGTCGACGATGTAACCTTACCGCCCCGGTGGCACAATCCCGGCAGTGCACCCGCATTCCATAGGTCTTTGATGCTGAGATGAAATCCAGTCTGTGGGAGATGTTCGTTCGAATCGAGCCTGGGGCATCCGAAATTAGCGAGAAGCTTTTTCATTTTTCATTTTTCCTTCGTTGCCGTTCATCCGTTTGTGTATCATCTAGAAATGTACTTTTCCTCATATTCCTCCATCTAACTTCACCAGTCCTATCCCAGGATGAGTGAATGAAATTCAGTCCTCTGCTTTATATGTATCATTCAAACTCGGGGCCTCGGTTAAGCACAGAACGGTTTGGTGGTGAGTATGAAGTATTGCGTGGACTTACCTGCACAAGGTTCCCGTTCGACTCGGGCCCGGGCCATGGGAGCGGACGGACCAATTTGCATTCTTTCCGTCAGGTTTGGCTCGTTTTGTCACGACGCTTCATGGCCGTGCATCTTACCAAGGTGTTCAGCTCGGGATCGAGTACTAGTTGCAATCGAACTGGATACAGCAGAGCCCGAGTATAGCTTAGTGTGCATGAAATTCCTCACGAGTGAGATGTATGGATTCTCAGGTAAAGTTGATTCCCCACGGTTTGTTGGCACGTTGAAAGGCCAGGATGGACGACGTCAGTTGAACAGAGTAGGATCCTAGTCCAAACTCATAGCCATCCGACGGTTGAATGAATTCAACCACTAAAGGTTTCTGATAAGGTTAGGTGGTGGACGGCTCCACCTCTGCGCAACATACGTTGTGGCCGGAGCTTGCTAGCAGCAGAGGCCCGTTCGACTCGGGTCTGAGCCATGGATAGTCCCAGAAAGACGCCCTTTTTTCGCTCTCAATTATTTTCCCAGCATTCCATGCCGTGGCTCCTCAGGTTTATGTTATCTTCCCATCTAGCTTCGGGTATCAATACTCTACTATAGTAGAATTTCTTGACACCGTTCGCCTTCATGCGACGACCACCGGTGAGTGACTGAATTAATATTGAGGTCTCGAATATATTGACACACTCGATAAGTTAGATACTGGCTCGGTGGTGGATGGCTTCACGCCCGCACCTGCTGCGGCATGTCCAGCGAAGTACCGCGGGAGAATTCCGTTCGACCCGGATCCGAGCCATGTTTGTGCCGGTTGGTTCTTTTACACCTTTAAATCATTTTCCTCAAGGATCGACTCGCTTCATGAGTGAACAGACAGCTCAACACGCTGCTGCGCTACAATCTTCGATGTAAACGAGTTCTGCCGATTGATTGAGATCTCCGCACAGAACACACTCCAGAATGATTTCAATTCAGCACTCGAATAAATTGAGCAACCCAATGGCTCAGCGGGGCTTGATGGTGGAAGCTATCTTTTTTGTTGCTTTCCGTCTTCGAGAAACCCTAAGTATCCCGATATTGTATCATTGCCCCATTCACAGCTGGAAGAACTGGGGGACTGTCCTGGGTCTTGTCTGCAATCTGTGGTTGAAATCCGTATGTACCGTGGGACGCAATCGCGCGATAGAGCACTTTGAGGAGGCGTCCAAATTCCAGCAGGGGGGAGAGGAAAACCGGCGTAAGGACTTTGATTAATTAATGGCGCGACGATGTACACGCCCACGCAAAAGTAGCAAGGTTAAGAAAAAGTTGAGAACAACTTTCGGAGTTTCGCGGCAGGTTCGCGGGAGGATCAATCCGTGGCCCCGGCTCGTGTCGAACGAGCTCCCGCACTAGTAAATTTATCGCTCAGGACTTGTGAGATTTGAATACACCCAATGTGGTTACGGAACTACTACCGATTCATGCTGTGAGCTTCGATAGGTTGAATTCTTCCAAGCCAAATTTAATTCCAACCAGACACATTGCGAGACCGAATCATAGCTTTGTGATTATGGCGTTGGCTCGATGGATAACCCTTTGGCCGGAAGAAAGCCAACGATACTCCACCTGGTTTCGGACCTTGTTTCGAATCGCGGTCCGGATCCGCAAAGTGATCGAAACTCGCACAACATGCGCAAATCAACTACTTTTGCTCTTCTCCATCATCACCTCTGTCACCTCGGACGAGCATCTCTCGCTACGTCTGAGTCTTGCATCCCTGACGGTCTGTCTACCTCCCGACTCATACCCCTCGGCCAGCGGAGAGAGTCTGAACTCACAAACGACCGCGTCATCGGTACAACCACCTCGCCTCCTCTCTTCGCCAACGCTGACGATCCCAAGCAAGGCCGATGAGCTGCCTGAACACTCGCTCCCGAGACTCGAGTAGCGGTGCGCTCAATTGCCGCCTGCCCTACTTGCCTAATTCCGAGCCTCCGAGTGCGCGGATGCATCTGACCTGAAATCCATACGTCAAAGGTGCTTGTGAGATGTTGCAATCTCAGCGGAAGGTCTTCTTCGATTGCCTTACCGCCCCGGTAGCACAGTATCGGCAGTCCAGGCCCTGGTGCATAAGGAGGATAGCTGCGTTGCCTTTTTTCGTTCAGCGGTTTAATCTCTCTTAAATTTCTTCATCCCCGGCCAGACTTATTTACACATGCATGTCCAATCTCGAGCTTAACACTTCCATGTCGGTGGGGCTCAGCCGACGGATCATATTCCATTGCTCTCCCTGGATCTTGCTTGCCTTTTGAGTTTGATTTTCTGTCGGTGTCAATGTCTCTCTCGCGATGCGTACGTAATGAAGCCGAGGATGTTCCACATTCTTTACTTGAAATGATCTCTACACCAGAGTCAACACTGTTCACTTACCGCCTCGTAGGACAATTATGGCAGTTCCCCCACCATCTGCTCAAAGATTGACCTTGCGGGGATGCTCGTTCAAATCGGGCCCGAGCCATACTGAACTTCGAGGACCTTTTTTCACACCTCTTTTGTCGGTGAAATTTTGTTTGTCAGGTATTCGCATTTTGGTCATCAGTGGTAAACTTCAGATCCAACTTTGTCATTGAAACACATTTTTGTATCTCCATCTACCCAATCAACTCTACTGCTACTAACCCCGAGTTCTCAGTTTTGAATCCAGGATTCAATTTCAGCACCTGGTGTTCTGGCCTGTGATAACGGCAATGAGATTTCAAAGGGTGCATGTTGAACACGCTGCGCTGCTAATGCATTTGCGCTCATATTTACTGCTTTGGTATAGGCTTGGGTGCATCGAAACACTTGACGACGACCACATGTTTACCTCCGAGAGACGTCAGGATATGTCATTCGATCTTGAAGGACACCGGCCACTGCCCAGTGCAGGTACGGCTCGGTGGTGGAGGGTCTCCGCCTATATAATTGGGGAGGTGCCCGCTCGATTCTCAGAAGGAGCCCGTCCGACCGGGTTCGAGCCGTGGATTCTGGGAACATCTGCTTTTTCTGAGATGTCCAGGTAGTTCTCTCTGTCATTTCACATCGTGAAAGTACACGTGCAATCGGAACTTGCTGGAATCTGCGTAAAGGTTGTTCGGTTTGTGGTGAGACATTGCTACAGAAAAACTGCCAGAATGAGCCGAGGCACTCACCAGATCAAACAGTGGCTCGGTGGTGGATGGTTCCACAAGTGCACATCTCAGGTGCGAGATGCATAACACAATACTGCGAAAGAACCCCGTTCGACTCGGGTCCGAGTCTTCGTACTCTTTTTCTTATAGGCTTCATACTCCAACATGGCAGTCTGTAGGAGGGAAGCTCAACACTCCTCGTGGACTCACCAGTAGACGACAAGCCGAAGAACTTTACTCTGGACAAAATCCAACAGTTGTCGGTGAACGATGCCGACGCGAAACTCAATAAGTAATCAAATATTGTTCCGTAGCTGTTCCGCTCGGCAGATCCAAACTATAAGTATGTGAGGGAAACTCAAAGTACTTGTTTGTAATGTCAGCCATGTACATGTCGAACATTGAACACAGAGCGGAGGCATCGGACCCCACCGGATCAACGAAACTGACCGATGGGGCCGGTGCACAACAAGCACAAATCCAATCAACCGCTCTTTTCTCTCCACCACCTCACCGGCGAGTGGCAGCTCACCCTCGTCACTGTCCGACTTCTCCCGACTATCTATCTCGCCGTTTGTGTCAGACACCATACTTCCTGCATCAATCTGGGAGCCTCGGATAAAAAACGCTCACATCGCCCGACGTCCACACATCCATCGGACCATCTTGCATCCATGATTGATCTTGAATCCGTCTGAATCCCGACAATCGACTTCTGGCTCGAGTCTAAATCCGCTGAGTCGCCTCGCCCGACGTCCCTGAATGCCTCTGTCGCTGCCGAATCTACGATCTCACCTGTGTTGGGCCGCAAGCTTGGTACTACAGGTGGTGCGTCCTTCCTCGTACCATTCTTTGCCTTCCTGTTTGTTATTTGCAGCCGTATCTCATCATTGACCCGCTCACAGGCCATCCGTTCCCCATGTGCAATCCTTGTCTCCATACCCATCTCCGCTGCTGCCTGAATCCCATCTCATTCCGCTGCACGCGCTGCTCCGCACCTTTAACCCACCCTCCTGGTGTCGCCACACGCGCTCTCATGTTACTGTTCAGAGTACCGCTCATCTCACCCGTGGTCCCACCTTGCAATACCCTCAAAGGCGTCCATTCCTCTGATTTTACGCGTTTTCCAGTGCCTCCTCATTCCACGCCTTTCATTCCTCTCTCACTTCGCGCTTCTCGTCATGTATTATCTTTCACCGTTACTAACGCCTTTCGTTCTCTATCCAGATTCCTTCCTTCTATCTCTGCCCCGCATTCCTGCAACGGCACGCCATGAATCAATCCTGAATGCGCTGTACCGCCGCAGGGCCTTTCACACCGCATCCACGAAATCAATTGCCTTGACCCCCGAAACGTTATTCCTGTGAGTTATCTATCTCCGTTCCTGTACTCTCCCTCGTTCCTGCTGTTGCCATACTTTAGGCCGCATGGGTCATTTCATTCACCCGTCACGTCTCATTCATACCTTCAATCTTTCAGGTATACGCACAGTTTCCACTCATCTTGATGCGGCTTGTTCTATGTGTGTTCACAGTCCTTTCAGTTTCCCATACTGATATCTTGCTTCCGCTCTGCTCCCGCTCCGTCATTTCTGGCCCCCGTTTCTGGTTTGGCGTCGCGCTCCCTGTTCGT